TTCCTGGAGACAAGGTCTTCTCCTACAATGCTTGTGCTGCTCAGATGTTCTTTGTAACAGGCTTTGCTACTGTGGAAAACTGCCTCCTGGCCTCAATGGCCTATGATCGCTATGCAGCAGTGTGTAAGCCCCTCCACTACACCACCACCATGACAACACGTGTGTGTGCAAGTCTGATCATAGGCTGCTATGTCTGTGGATTTTTGAGTGCCTCAGTCTACACTGGGAACACGTTCATTCTCTCTTTCTGTAAGTCCAATGTGGTCCACCATTTTTTCTGTGATATGCCAGCACTCATGATTCTTTCTTGTTCTAACAGATATGTGAATGATCTGGTTCTTATTTACGTTGCCAGCTTCAATATCTTTTTTGCTCTCCTAGTTATCTTAATATCCTACATGTTCATATTCATCACCATCCTAAAGATGCGCTCAGGTGCAGGACATAGGAAGGCTATGTCCACCTGTGCCTCCCACTTCACTGCTGTCTCCATTTTCTATGGGACTGTTATCTTCATGTACTTACAGCCCAGCTCCAGTCACTCCATGGACACGGACAAGATCGCCTCTGTGTTCTACACCATGGTCATCCCCATGTTGAACCCTGTGGTCTACAGCCTGAGGAACAAGGAGGTCAAGAGTGCATTCTCAAAGATTTTTCAGAGAAAAAGTAGGCTTTAGGTTTCAGAATTAACCATTTTGAAATATGTATAACAGTATTCAGTCCTCTCAGAACTTCTCTCTGTTAGTGTCACATTTTAAGACCCACAGTGAAGTTATGGAAGTGATACCTTATCTTGCATAAGACCGTTGTCTAGGGAAAAAAAAAAGAAACCTTGCATTCAGAATTGTAATACCTTAATGAGAATGTCTATGATATTTTGTGTTCTGCTTGTCAAAATCCTGATTATATTTATTATTTAATTTTCTTCCGTGCAATTTTTTCTAGCATGTTTCAATGCATACATATAAAACAAGTGCATAAATAAGCCTCTGAATAAAAGTGCATGCAGGTGGCCTATGAGGACTCATATACATGAGCAGACTAAACCTGTTGGAATTAAATGTAATGTGGGTATTTGTGGTGGTTAATTTGACTGGACTAACATTCACTCAGATAGTTTAAAGTTTTTTTTTTCTGTGTGACCTTGATGATATTTCCAAAGAGACTACTATTTGAAGCAGTAGACTTAAAAGAACATCTTCTTCATCAATGTGGGTATCTATCAACCAATCAATTGAAGGCTTGGTTGAGTAGAAGAAATATGTGGATAAAGGTGAATTTCTCTCTTTCTCTAATTCTGTCTTCTTTTTTTTTTTTAAATTGGAACATTTGCCTTCTCTCATGCTTGAACATCAGAGCTACTGACTTTCAGATCTTTAGCCTCCAAGACTTACAGTGGCCAAGCCTCACCCCTCCTGTCTCATGCCTTTGAACTCAGACTGAATTTCTCTACCACCCTTCCTTGTTTGGTTTGCAGATAGCAGAGCATCGAACTTCTCAGCTTCTATAATCACCTGAATCCCAGAGAACCCTGACTAGTAGACTAGTGTTTGACAACCATAACTTCATATCGATATTTAATTTGTATATTATCATATAAATGTATGGGCTGGAGATGTAGCTCAGCAGTACAGCATTTGCCTAGAATATATACAAAAGTAGCACTAAATTTTTAAAATTTCTTTTCCAACTATTATTCTAAGAGTCCTAAGTTGAAAAAACATGATGTATTATTATATAAAAGTATGTGTCCTCACAGCCATATCAATGTTTATAGTAGCACAATTCACAATAGTAAACTGTGGAATCAACCCAGATGCCCTTCAGTAGATGAATGGATAGGGAAACGTTGGTGTATATATATACACAATGAACATTACACAGAATTAAAAGAGAATAAAATCATGGCATTTGCAGGTAGATGGATGGAGATGGAGAATATAATGCTAAGTGAAGTAAGCCAATCCAAAAAACCAAAGGCCAGATGTTTTCTTTGATATGAGGATGCTGACTCATAATGGTGATGGGGGAGGTGGAGCATGGGAGGAATGGAGGAACTTTAGATAGGGCAAAGGGAAAGGAGGGGAAGGAAGGGGGCAAGTGGATAGGAATGATGGTGGAGTGAGTTGGACATCATTACCCTAAGTACATGTATGAAGACACGAATGGTGTGAAAATACTTTGTGTACAATCAGTGACTTGAAAAATTGTGCTCTATGTCTGTAATATGAATGAATTGCATTCTGCCATCATGCATAAACAAATCAGAATAAATAAACATTTAATTTAAAAAGTATGTACCCTTTCTTTGAACATTGTAACAAGCAATACATGAATCTGCCATCTCACTTGAATTAATATTTTTGTTTGTGTCACTGTATACGTCAAATATGTTTATGCTGTAACTCTTGAGGCAATAAATGCCAGAGGACCTGACAAATGCAGAAACAATACAATCATTTAAATGTATTTATATATTGGTACCATTTTTCAGATTATTTAAAAATTATTGGAACTAATACTGTACATTTTACAAATTCTTTGGAATTATTAATGCTGTTCATTCTTTTTTGACCTTAGTTGAATTATAGCCTCTCTTGTCACTCCCATGGTAAATCAACCCTCTTCATTCCAAATGAATTCCTTGCTATTTCAGTTTCCAGCATGTTCAAGCCTCAGGGTCTTTGCACTTTCTGTTCCTTGGATGGAATGCTCTCATTCCATTCAGGTCTTTGAAGTAATGTTCCCTTGTCATAGAGCGCTTCCCTGACCACCTTCATAAAGGAGTCACCATCTGCTCACCAAATAAACTGTCCCCTCAACCTAAGTCATTCTTTAGTCCTTATCAACCTCACCTGGTATATATTTACTTTCTTGGGTTTTATAATCTCCAGCCAGAATGTGAACTCTGTGTTAGCATTGCCTTTATCTGTATTGCACACAACACGATCACCTGTACCCGAATAAGTGTGTTCTACAGTAAATTGGAATAAACATTTGTTAAATAAATAAAAAATAATTGAGCTTTGAGTGTAATTGCACCACAGTTGACCTTTGAAATATAGATGATAATAGTGAGTATTGCAAAAGATAAGCTTAGATAAATGTTCACTGCATTTCCAGAGGCACAAATAATTTTCTGCTTTCTTGAAACACTTAAAACAAACATTCTCAGTCAATGTTTTCATTCCTCACTTTAAGACAACAGGATTTTTTGAAAATTCCACCATGGAGCGAATTATTTCAAATCATCTCATAATTTTTGCTTAGAACTGATGTGCTGTTAAATGACAAGAAACACATCAAAGTAGTCCTACTCAGGAAATATGAATCACATGTTAATGATAAAATTATTTAAAGGTTACATACCTGGTCATATTTTTAAAATTATTTCATGTGCACCAATGTACAATTAACTGAAACATGTCTAAATGTCCATGTGGAAAATAATATGACAATATTTGGCGTAGCAAACAGAAGATGTAGCCAAAATTTCAGTAAGCACTTGCTTTATTTCACTTCTAATTCTGAGCCTCAGAGAGCTCAATATTCTTTAAACTAAGCACTGGAACATGTCTGCCTGTGTAATTTGTCATTGCGATACAATAGATGGCTTCAACGTTGTTTGACAGAATGTGCTAACATGGCCATGTGGTACTTTGGAGCACATTGGCATAACACAAATATTCACTTTGGAATTTGTGGTGTTATTTCTTCTCCGAGAGCCATTTCTTGTTTTTTCCCTTCTTCTTTTTTTTTTTAAATTTGTTCTAATTAGTTATATGTGACAGTAGAATCATTTTGACACATTGTATTACAAATGGAGCACAGAGAATCACTCCTAATTATTGTTTAATGATTATTTAATTTTAGAATTATTTGAAATTTATGGAAAACATTCAAACATAGTGCAAACTGCGATCGACATATCACATTCTGTCAAGCCCAAAATTGGTCAAAAAAGATTCACATGCTAATTCTTGAAACCTTTCAGTGTTAACAATGTGGCCCAGTGGGTATGCTATTTTATCTAATCACACATGGGTACAATGAGACAAAGGACTCAAGAGAGAGAGATCATCAGGATTATCCTTGGGTGCCTCAAAGCCAATTCCATGGTAACTTTGTAAAGGAAATCAGAAAAATTTAACTGCAGAGACAAAAGGAGCAGGCAATGTGACCTGAGAAGCAACATTGACTTAGAGTTTCCAAATGAAATAGAATGCTTGCCGTCATCAGAGAATGGAAGAAGCAAGAAATGAAGTGTCCCCTAGAACATTCCACTGACAGACTGTCTCAATGGGAAATGATTTCAGATTTCTCATTTCCAGAAATGTGATAGATGTTGTTGTAAGCCTCCAAGTTTGCAGTAATTTGTTACGGCAGCCACAGGAAACTATTCAAACCCTCACCAGGTTTCTTCTCTGTCATAATCATGCATTACTATCATATGGGAGTTTGGGTCAAATCAAAAGTGAACCCATCTGTTACTGGACTTCTCTTTGTTGGGAGATTATTATTATTAATTCAATTTCTTTCTTTTTTGGGGGGGGAATGGGGGTACTGAGGATTGAACTCAGGGACACTCAATCATTGAGTCAAATCCCCATCCCTACTTCGTATTTTATTTAGAGAAGGTCTCACTGAGTTGCTTTAGTGTCTCCCTTTTGCTGATGCTGGCTTTGAACTCATGATCCTTATGTTTCAGCCTCCCAGGCTGCTGGGATTGCAGGCATGACCCACTGCGCCTGACTATTAATTCAATTTGTATACTTGGCATAGGCATATTCAGATTTTCTCTTCCCTGGAAGTCAAATTTGGTTGCACCTGTCTCTCTAGGAATTTGTATTTTATCAATGATATCCAATATGTTGGTGTGCAGGAATTGATATTATGCTGTTTCCATCATTCTTATTTCTGTAAGCTGAGCAGCTATATCATCACATACATTTATGATTCCAGTAATTGGAGTCCCCTCTACACCCCTCTCTCATCTCCTGCTGAGAAACAGAAGATTGAACTCGGGACCTTGCTTATGCTAGGCAAGTGCTGTGCTACAAGAGCTATATTTCAAGTTCTTTGTTTCCTTTTCCATTTTATTTTGTAACAAGGTCATGCTAAATTTCCCAGGCTTGCATCAAACTTGTGATCCTCCTGTTTATGTTTTCTGAGTATCTGGGATTATAGGTGTGCCCCACTGTGCTGGGCTTTTTTTTGGTTTTAATATATAGTTAGTCTAAAAACATTTTTTCTTTGAGGGTTAAATTCCCACAGACTCAATTTTGGTTTTGTTGATTTTCTTCATTCTAATTATATATTCTTTTTTTAATGCAGTCTCATCTTTAATTTTTCCTTGTGCTACATTCAGTGTTAAGTTTTCACTTTCTAATATATTATTCCTTAAGTCTTAAAATTAGAATTCCCTGGAGATCACTCTGATTATTTTTAATATGCACAAGTACAGTTTGAAATTCCCTAAACACAGTGCTTTTCTTGCTACAAAAATATGGTATGTTGTTTTCATTTGGTTCAAACTATATCATAACTTCTTTTCACCTGTATCTACCCGTTGATTGCAGTGTGTTCTTATATGTATGTGAATGTTCAAATGTCCTTGCTATCAATTTCTACTTCAATTGCATTTTGGTTGGTGAATATATTACACATGATTTCAATCTTTTTAAATTTATTAAGCTTTTTTTTGCGTAATATATGATTTGTTCTGGTATATATTTTGTATGCAATTGAAAACTTGTATGTCTGTTAGAACAAATTTAAAAAAAAAGAAAAAATTTTTAAAAAGACTTGCTGGATTATGGTATTCACATCATCTCCCTCTTATTGATCTTCTCTCCAGCCATTTTACTCAGTATTGGAAATGAGGTATTGAAGTC